TAAATATTTCAGCAGTTACTTACATACCGTTTGGATAGTGTCTATGATTGCCCTGTAGAATTAAAGTTACTTGCTTTATCACCTGACTCGTAGAGCGCTGGATTGTTTCCCTCAACCAAGTATGGCCGAGTCAGTGGATGAAATGAAACGAAACTCTCCTAGAGTGAACGGATTCACTTAGCGTGAATTGAAAATTGAAACTACCGGATAAATATTTAGATAAGTATTTAAGTCAATCTGTGAGCCATCTCATGTTTAGATAAACTGTACGAATTATTTACTACTCATGATAATGCAAACATATTCTAAAACATCGTTTGCTGGATCTGTGTGGTGCATATTCTTCTGTTTCACTCGTAAATTGTGCTTGGAAGTCAATTTTTAACCCACATGCAAGTTATAATCTTAAATTTTCACAAAAAGTTTGGATTAACGGGATGAAAGAAAACCATTTGTCGTAGTAACAGGTATTTGTAAAATTTGAAATGAAAACTCCTCGTCTAATTTTTGTTTTCCCTGCAAACAAGTAACGACTTCGACAACTCTTCTCCATCGTAAACACTCGATTTAGCAGCTCACACTTTATTCAAATATCATTTTAATTGATATCTTTAATCTTAACTTATCAATGGTTGGTCCTGTTCCAATTAAAGGATTATGATCCCACTTCCAGATGTTTCACATAATGACACTAACTAGTCCTTAAGCCGGCAGTAAATCGCGATGTTTCTTACATGTTTTAAAATTATTTCATTCGTAACATTGTAAACAGGATGTATCTTTTTCGCCATAAGCTGGTTTTACACATGACCCTGCACTATTATTACTTTGATGAAAAATTAAATGATTTAAATGATATATCTTTCCTAGCACAACTTTACACTTAACTAACTGCGGTTGTAAGCAAAATATTACCGGCTTATTTTGATTTTGTTTCGTTATTTTGTTTGTTTGCTGAAAACATAAGAAGTTATTCCAAGAATCCGCTTGTTTTCCCTCGTCAGTAAAAAGCGATCACGTAGTTGAGGGATTGAACAAGTTTCGTAAAGGTAGACCCTTCCAAAATCAAAGTCGGATGGAACTGTCTAACAGGACCTAAGCGTCGTCGATGAAACGGATGAGTCCGAAAACGAATAGAATCGCTCAAAATCTGACGGAGATGCCAAACCGAAACAAAGAGTTTGTCACTGGAGGGGAGGGGGGAGGGGGGAGGGGGTATTGAAACGAGCACCGCGCCAGAGCACAAGCGCCAGAGGTACAAACCATTTCGTGATCCGGGGACCATTTGTTATTTCGCTTTGGAGCCTGTTCTGTCGTCTATTCTCACTTTCACTAAGTTAGTAATAAAAGTTTTTGTTACCTGGTTTCAGATTCTGCTGTGACAACTTCTTTAAATTCAGTGAAAATTCACTTTAATCATTAACTTTTTTATGACTTAATTAAGGTGGCAGACACTAATTAAGATTGTGTATAGCTTAACCTCAGAATTAAGTGACCAGCCATTCAGCATATCCATGGAGTTAAAATTTCAAAAAACCTGACCGAAATAAAACTAAATTCTAAACATGAACTATGAATTTGAAACTAGAATTTAAGACAATCGGAATCGATAGGAGTACATACATTTAACATTACATAATTTATCAATAAAGCGTTTTCATTAGAATTATACACGGACTGCGTCCAGCTAGAACGATCAGACAGGGGCAGTTTCTAGCATGCACCTTACCTTAAAAATCTTAAAAACACATACCAGTTGTTCCTTTGAAAAGCGACGTTCTGTTCGTTTGGACCAGACGTAGTCTCTTCGCAGGAAACGTAGCCTCTTCAGTCATGTCGCACTTTTTTAAGACGATAGTTACCACGAACCACGATAGTGAAATCCGAGGAAAGTCTGGGGAGAGCAACTCTCTCCAGGCTTCCTTACTATAATTAATCAAGAGGTGTGGAGCTTGCCAATCAAACGAAAAATTCTAAGGAACTCCAAAGGGCCAATTGTCCTTAAGATGGTTTGCTGTTCTTTTGTTTTGATGTTTCATTGAAAGATTCTGAAAACCCCCCCTCTGGTTCGTCAGTCCTCCACTGTCATCGATGTTCAAGTCGTAAAGTCTCGACATTCTAAGGTGCAGCGCTTTTTTTAATTATAATTTTCATTTTTAAAACACAGGATCAAAGTAGCTCTTGAACGCAAAACGTTTCTTGGACAAGCTACTTCTATAGTGAGCTTTAGTCTCACATTCCATCTGTGCCGAGCTCTCCCTCTTTTTTTTTTTTAATTTATTTTTTTATATAAAAAAAACCTTGAAAGTACCGACAGCCTGCGCAATATTCCAGAATCGGAGCAGTGGGCACAAAAAATGAAAATTCAATAGCAGCATACTAAAAGACTTGTGAGAAAAGCAAACTGTGAATAAACTCAGCAAGGCTTTGAAGTTTAGTGCTAGTGACTGAAACGGAACTTAGACCTTACTAACGTCAATATTTCCCCAGAGTCATGGCGTAGGTTTCATGAAATCTTGTGCAAAACGAGTTTCGACAAGATTTCCGTACAACTCCGTACTTCATTATGCGTACAATTAATTGATAACAGAGAGACAGTGGTGTTCACAATAGTCTTGCCTTTGGGACAAGTTTTTTGTTTTAGAATAGAATGGGGTCACATGAAAACCTTTCCCGATTCCTTCATGACAAGGTTGGCGTAAAGAGTATAAACAATATTCATCAACAAACTGACAATTACTATTTCAGTCTTCGTGTTGTTCTTTCAAGTGGTTTCGATCTTTCCGTGTTCGTGACTTTCCTGCTCGTAACAGCTGTGACGTAAACCATCACGTGTTATTTATGGCTCATTTCTTCTTTTGCTCTGTTTAGCGTCGTTTGCAGTCATGGCAGGAACTGAGGTAAGCAAGCTCATCCCGTTTTTTTTAAGTCTTCTAGATTTGATAAGGCGGTTACAGTATTTCCTAAAGGTACCATGACTGTTTTTCAGTGATCACTGTGTGACACCCTTCAGGTGTAAGTCAAGATTTCAACAGATCGGGGGACCATTGTTGTTTGTGCTGTTCAGCATTGTTCCTTTATTTAGTCAAAGAATCGTCATGTCTTTTTCAAGTTTTTAAGGACCGATCCAAGCTCAAGTCCGTGATCTAATCTCTCAGTCAAAAGCCAGCGAATTGCAAATCCGATTTCGACGACCGATAGTTCTTTCTCGCCAGTCATTGATAAGTAAATTAAACTGATTTTTTTGTTTGTATTTCAAGGATTAAATTTATCATCAGAACCATCAGCTTACTTTCTCGAACGCTATAAATAGTTGTTAAGTGAGTAGTGGTATCAAATCTCCTTTTTCTAATGAGTTTTGGGCTTCAGTTTCATTAAAGATCAGGGAAGTCGGAAAATTCCGGTGTGTTTAGCCACGTGACTCTCCATCTGATTGTGAAGTGTGACAACAATTAATCACGCAATGTTAAGCCCAGAAATTTGAATCGCAAAAATCGATGCAATAACCTTGCAAGAAATTCCTAATTTGCTCTAAAAACATCTCTTAAATACCCTACATGTTCATAAAAGTGGAATGATTTCTGTATAACCCTGTAGTAAACTATCTACGCGTAAGTTTGATGGATATGGGACTTCGATTTTTAAAAAACAAAAACAAATAAACTTCTTTTTCACTTCCTTCAGCATGATAATGAAACATTGAAGGACAACTGTCCTGCATTTAAAGAAGGCTGCCCTTATTCCAATCTGACAAAAGATCTTTTCATGGAAGAACTCAAAAAATGCCCCGAGTTCCAGATAGGATGCCCCTTTAAAGATGCTAAAAATGTCAAGGAAGTGGTTGAAGAAATGTCCAAGATGCCAGAATCAAAGCACCACACAGGAGAGGCACATGAGCAGCTACTCGGCATGCTGAAGGCTGTTCATTCTGAGTCCAAAAAGTTGGAAGAGAAGGTTGGAGAATGTCCTGTGTTTAAGACAGAGGAAGGCTGTCCTTTTAAAGATGCCAGCAAGGAAGGAAAACCTTTGATAGAGCCACCAGCAGCTGTGTTAGAAGGTTTTACTACCTCTGATGTCAGTAAACTGAAGGAGAAGTGTCCTGCTTTCAAGGAAGGGTGTCCATTTGCCAACACGGAGAATGAAGCTCTTTTGGGAGAAATTAAGAAATGCCCTGAGTTTGAAGAAGGATGTGCCTTCAAGGATGCCAAAACAATTGAAGAAATCCACAGTAAGCTGTCGCAGATGCCAAGCAGTGACAAGGAATGCCATAAAGAAGCTCTGATGAAGACCATGAAAGTCATTCATAGTGTTGGCCATGAGAAAGCTGAGGAGTGTCCTGTACTTCAGAAAGATGGTTGTCCATTTAAAGCTGTTGAGAGTGAAGGAAAGCCTCTTGTGGAGCCAGCTGATTCAGTGTTGCCAGCTGGTGCAAAAAGGAAGGGTCCAGCCTCTGATTCAGGGTGTCCTTTTGCCAAAGTTGGCAAAGAAGATCCAAAGAAATAATCAGTAGATCTTATGCTGAGGCTCTCAAACTCAACACAACATGAAAAAACACAAACTTTTAATTTTTTAAATTAAACATGGATGAATACACATTGTTGGTTATGATAAGTAAACTGTCAATTACCACCTGTGTTTAAAACAGTAAGGCAAACCATTAAAGTAAACTTTATCATTCTTATCTGAGTCTTGCTATTTATAATTGTGATAACTATACTTGTATTGAAAACATGTTTTTACTTTTAAAATTCTTTTCTTTACATTGTTAACCCTTAACCTCCCTTAAAGGACCAAGACAGAATTTCTCTTAGCAAGATTAATGCAGCATAGGGCAGATAAGTGATGAAAATAAAGAAAAATATCAATTTAGGGATTGCTAGTCAATCCAATACCAAATTTTCTTAAATAACATCATATGAATTGTATGACAGATAGAAAGGAGGATTACTAATAAGATCTTGGGAGTAACAGGGTTCACTGAGACACCGCTGTTGTAAAATCAATGTCAAAAGGAGGGTGACTCAAGACAGTTCCAACCATGAAGCAAACTTGTATTTCCATTGTTGTTGTGAGAGAGGATAGGGAGCTTCTGGTAGAAAAGGTTTGCTCATGGAGTGGAGTAGGTGTTTCATGCATAGTTTAGATTTAGTGAAACGAGAAATCTGGGTACTAGAAGTAATGCTCTTCCCCATGCTACACGCTCTCTTATTCAAGATGGCGGCTTTATGAAGATGGTCTTCTTAAACAGCTTGTCTCGCAATATACAACAGCTGGGAATCAGCTGAAATGTAAACATGACTGACCACGATCCAGAGAGGGCCATACTGCATATTGTGGTGGTTGGATTCCATCATCAGCGAGGATCCGAGGTAAAATAGGTCCCGATTATTTGCTCGAAAGTATCAGCTTTGAAGAGAAGCATTCCAAAATCTGTACTAAAATACGACATTGTTTCCCTGTTTTCGTCGTTATGATTATTATTTCCATAAATTGCAGGTGGAGTTTTTGTATCCACCGCTGGGAAAGCAAAGAAATTCTCAATCTTCAATACTTCCGAGTGAATGGAAATTTCTGCCGTTTTTGGCTTTACCAGATGGAGCCCATAACTATGAGCAAGGTATTATTCCAGAAAACTCCTCATTTAGTCTGGTGGTGATTTATAGCGCGCATTTCAAGCATCGCGTATACAGCCATCCATTGAGTCTCGGGCTGTTTTATTTACAATACTAGAAATGTGCAGCCTAAAAACTCTGTTAATCAAGTTACTGATTTTCATTAATTTGTAGACACAACTTTCTTCCATGTACCAAGTCTCAGCACAGCAGACACTAGGCAGAACCCACAGTCAACTATTTTTGGAATTTCTTGTTACAAGCAGATTGATAGTAAGGTTGTTATAATTCATTTCTCTAATTCAGATAATGATGAGTTAAAGGAAGGCTTATGCGAATAAACAAAGTACGTATATAGGTATGATGTACAAATATTATTATCAATGTTAGCATATATCTGAAAAGGGCTGTCTTTGGTGACAAGAACAGAGTTCCAACAACATGAGCAGAAGTTTTCACAAAAAATATTATAACTTGAGGAAGCATTGTTATAAAAGTGAATATTCAGGCTCACAGAGAATGCTGTTGTACTTTTTTCCTAACCAGATGGGGGCACACATGAAGTGTTTGTTCAGCCCATGTTTTGCTTCCTAAAAATTAGAGATGGAAATGAGACGTTTCAGAGTTTATTGTGAATTTGGAATGAGGGTTTCTAATTCATTTTATGTTGACAGGACTTAAAAATTAAAAGTGAGGATGTGACCAGAAGCACTGTACAGAAGAGTATTTGTGTCCTGTCCTGCTTGGTGAGTACACAAGTTACTTAAGTGAAAGGTAACCTGTTGTTTCAACTCAGCCTGCAGATTGAGTGTCATTTTTGCTTTTTCTAGGCAAGCAGAGACAAGTGCTGTGAGAATGCAAAACGCAACTTGTCTCTCGAGAACACTTTGTGCCTGCCACTTGTAGCCTAAAAACACAACAATGCAAATTCTTTGTAGGCTAGCTCAAATACAGAACATGTAGTATTACCAAGCAGTGGGGGTCAAAATGTACCACTACACAATGAAAAAAATAAATATGTTAGATTAGATATTTAACCTTTTAAGAAGGGGGTAGTATATTCTAGGTTAAACTAATATCTAATTATTTATAATTATTTATAATCATTTATTTTACATTTAATGAGAATGATAGTTTATAAACCTACAAAAAGTAGTGCTAGTGTAAGGATTATCATAAAATTGATAATCATCTTCTTCCTGCTACTAACTTAATTGATAAAGATCCTTAGAAGAATAACTTGAAAGTTTTCATTTGTTTGAAGATCATCTTTGTTTTTAAGGTGATATTCAATTGTAAGACCCCATTACTTGACAAAGACTGGAAATATGAAGACAATAATTGAAAAATAACAATTCAATTTACAATTTATCACAGAACTAGACAAACATTAAACAACTACAATTATTTAAATAATTTTTTCTTGTTTTATCAGCCACTTTATGGATACCTAAGAGAAAAGCTGCAAGTTGCTACCAGACTCTATTTTGAAGAAAAGGATTTCTCTCAAACAGGAATTTTAGAGGTAGGTACTTGATATCCGCACAGACGCAACTGTACTAGAAACAAATTGTGAAAGCTTTGTTTTGACATCTTTCCCTGTTAACACTAATAACTTGGTTTCTTTTAATTCAAAATTATATTGCATGGGTTTTCAGGAACTATATAGAAATTTAAACATGACTGTTTCACCAAGTCTGATATCAGAAGAATCTTTACTATTCATTGGTGAGTTTTTCATGGTTTTATATTAATAATGAATAGTTAAAAAGTCTCTAAAGAAAGTGGTTATAAAATTTTCCCAATTAAACCATATCATAAGTAATGGTGTCATGCCAAGGTTATAGATTATACAATTCCAGGGTTTTTTTGGTAACTGTTTTTTCCCTATTGATAGGTTTTTCAGCTGTAGAATTAGTTAGAAAGTTCAGACATAGGGTGAGTAAAAGCAGTTCTGTCATAATAACTACTTTACATGTTTAATTAACAGAATTCTTAAGCTGAAGAAGAAGTAAAAAATGGTTCATTAGTTTATATAACATAAAAACTTAATTAAAATAATAAATTATATTCTTCAACTTTACAGATTTTAGCTCTTTTTAAACTGCTTCTCCTTGAAAGAAAGGTGTGTGTTTTTTGCATAATTGATCACAAAGTTTTAAACTAGAGAGGTTAACTTTCATATAATTTTGTCTCATGCATTGTCCTGTGATATTTGATGTATTTAGTGTATCAAACTGAAACAGACTGAAAATTACAAAATATTTACAAGCAATGTGAGGCATAACTTTTGTATGCCATGTCTTGAAGAAGTTATAAAAGAAATTTATATGTTTTCATTACATACACTATACTTCTCTTCCACTTGACACAGTGATATTATGTTGTTAATAAGGATTTTTCAATTGTAATTTGAAGTTAACATATGTATACTTTTCACATCTTTATCACAGGTCATCTTTCATGGATTTCCAGTTAGTAACATTTGCTCACAGCTTCTCTCACTTGTTTCTCTCTTTCCAGGTAAGCATTCAATTAGTATTCAATTATGAAAACCATAACTATATTCAAAGTTTAAATGTTTTCTTCTTTTTGATGCCACATTTTAGAACTTTACATAAAGGAATCTGACCTTTACCACAGGCAGACATGTACAATAAATATAATAAAGTGCTAAAACTGTTGCCTGAAAAAGCCTGAAGTGATTAATTTTCTATTTCAATATAATAAAGATATAGCAAGTTGGTATTGTGGTTTTAATTACCACCTTTAGTGTATGTTAGATGGTTATTTTTGGCTAAGAAAGCTGCCCTTGCAACTCAATGATAAACTTCTTATTTATTCAAGGCACTTTGTGGCAATAATTTTTATTTCTCCCACATTCAACCTCCAATGCTGAACAGAACATAAGTCAGTATTCATGTTTTTTGTGTTTTGTAGGAATGATTCAGGGTGGTCTGGTGTATTCAGTCACCAGAGAAAAAATTTTTCAAGAGGACAAGTCAGAGAGTGTATGTATGTTTTATAATTAAATTATAAACATTTTGAATTGTAACAGTCAAAGTAGGACGGCTAGCCAGATTTCTGTTGTGCTATTACATCTTTTGGTCTCATGTTGGAGATTCCCTTTAAACTCTATGTTTTAATTCACATTATTTAGAACATTCTCTCATGGTTACCTCTTTTAAAGGATCATAGGGGGGCAACCTGCCTGTTTTTATGTTTTTTAAATATGGAAATTTATGAAAAATGTTCTTACAATAATCTGCTCATATCAGCAAAATGATGCTCAAAAGTTGCAGATATTATACACCTGCAAGTATGTTTGGAGTTTTTAAACAGAAAGTAATGAAAAAAAGATTTAAAAATATATGTTGGGAATGAAGTTCATGACAGATTTCCAGGTGTGTGGGTACACTGCATAATGGTTAACTAAGAGTTTTTAAGAATCCATAGAGGAATGCATGAAATAATGTTATTACTAATGTATGACCCAGTAATTAACTGACCAGGTAATTTCAAGTTAAGTAAGTTTTTATCGTTGTTTTACACTGAAACAGGATATTCATGTCCATGAATATGAACAGCTATCAGTGGATTTATTTGGATTTCCTTTAGCAATCTTTACAAAAGTGAGTCAAATAAATATGCTTAATATTGTATCACCTGCTAAGGATTCACTGTTCAATGTTAATTAATTCCTTAAAAAATGATGATGATTTCTACTGTTTCTTAAAAAAAGAAATTTCTTCATTTTCACCTGACTGCTCTAAAAGGTTTAGATATTATTCTTATAGTTCGAGACAGTGAAGAACAAATGAACTCCCATAAAATACACAACATTTTATGTTACAACAGCATTACCATCTTACAATGTGGTGTGGATATTTCTACAACTCATTTTTTTTTCCTCATAGAACTCTTTGTTTCATCCCTATTTATCTTTGCAACAAATGGAACTGTTGAAGAGTTCTCATGTCAGAAGTTTTGTGGTTGGGGCATCAAATTATTTGTACAAACGGCAAAAAGGATTATCAGATGTTTTGGTGGATGTGAGTACAAAGGAGCTATCACATATTAGTATAAATCTACTAAGTTTCTATCACAAACACTTCAATAAGAATTGCTTAAGGCTACCTGCAGTCCATTCTACAATGGATGATTACAAAATGGTTCTTCCTGTTTATTTTAACTCCCAAAAGGATTAACATTTAACTTCTCCCTATGATATCCATACATTGTCTAACAAATAGGTAATGAGAATATTCAAATGTATCAGGTAGAGGTTGTTTTCTTGATCGAGCAATATATAAGATTAATGGTTAGCAATTGGAGGGAAGGATTAACAATCAGATCTTGGGAGTTCCAAGGTTACCTGAAAATGTTTTGTGTATTGCAGGGAAAAGGACAAAATAGTGAATTTACATTTGTTTGTTAATCTATAAGTTTGTTTTTGACAACAGCTGGAGAGTAGTACAATTGAAATTCATGATCCTGAACTAAACGAACAGTTGTCATTATCAACTGCTGACCTGAGGTTTGCAGACTATCTAATTCATCACGTTGATGATTATGCTGAGAAAGGCCAACAAGAAGCAGGTTAATTGCAGTGATTTTGACCTTGATAGAATTAATTTATTTTTAGTTTTGATTGTGTGTATATATAATTCATCACTACCATTGACAATTAGAGAAAAATTGTCTCAATGTGGTATTTTTCTATCTGAATAGTTGACTTGTGCTCATATTTCTTATACATTTGAACTGTACTCCACTTAAAAAATGTTTCAAGCAGAATAAACATTCCATTTGTTGGTTTATTTAAACCCAGTGGAGAGAGTCAGGAGCTGAAACTTCCTCAGTTGCCACCTCAATATTGGCGATGCCTCTTTGCAACCCTAGGAAAGACGACAGGGGGGGGAGGGGGATATGAGCACTAACCTCACATGTTGTTAAGGAAACTCATTTTTGCTTTTTACTGACTAATGGTGGGATAAATATTTGTTACGTCTATATGCATAGTGTTAATCCCTCACAGAATTAGGTTACTATCTCTTCAGATTTGGACAAATAATATTATCGTTTCACTTAGTTAAGGAGAAACTGACTGGAACATGGTTGGTTTTTTTTTGGAAAATATTTTGACAGAATCGTTTAGCCTTCATCAGTGTGATTCAGTTGAAAAATTTTCCAGGAAAACTTACGATATTTCAGTCAGTTTCTTTTACATTACATCTTTGGAACTGAAGTAAACACTTTTGCTTCTATTTCACTTATTGTTGAAACTTACCCAGAGAGTAACCTATCTTGTTGATTTATTACAATGTCAGGAACTTGCCAAGAAATTTTGATCAGAGTCCAGTTTTAAATTTTTTTTTTCTTGTATTCCTTAGGCTGGGATGGTAGTGATGAGTGGATCAGAGCCCAGTTCAAATTGTATCTTCTGTCATTGTTATCAACCATTCAACACACAGGTTTGTGATCCTGTGTATGGCTTTGCTTCTAATGTGGGAGCACTTGTCTGATACTCCACTATTTGCAGGGGGTGATGGGATGGCAAACTACAATGAGAAGTTCATAGAGGCCTGGAAACAAACTACAAACTATCAAGTGTGGAGAGGAAAAGAACACACAGGGATTGATGATGTACATGCTGGGTAAAGTACATGGCATTTCCAAAGTTTGCTTTTCATTGCAAACCCTAAATTGTAGTAACAGTTTAACACCATTTTCTTGACAGACATCCTTTTCAAGGACAGATGGGACTAGCAGACATTAAAATCAGACTCTCTAAGTAAGATGTTAGCCTATTAAATCCATTTTAAACTGGTTGTTGTTGTTTGTATTTTTATTTCAAGAGCATGTCACAAAGGAATGCTTTTAAGTAAAGTTCAGAAATTATACACAGTGTTGTCTACCAATTTTCTAAAGTACAATATGTATCTGTTTGTTGTGTAGTGTTATGCAGACAGAAAGAGGCCGTAGGATTGGTCATGCTGTGGTGGAAACTGGCAAAGTCGTAGGTATGATAGGTATTTGTTTTTAGATCCTATAGAGGAGAGGGATTGCACAAACTTGTTCCCAGAGTTCTCTCCTTGTTGTCCTTGGGGGATGAGTGGGAGACAGCTTCCAGAACTAGGGAAAACATCAAAGGAGTTTAGGAAGTTACGATATTTTGATTCTTTATTTTTTTTCTTAGGTGGGGCTATTAACAGTGCACGCTCATTTGTGACATCATGGTTGTCTGAATTGACGCAATCATCTTCAGAGGAGACTGGGGAGGGTAAAGCACCAGAAGAGAAAAGTGAAGCAAAAATTGATGAAGAAAAGAATGCAGGGCTACAGGAATGATGAATGGTGCAGCAATTTAGTGATTGTACTTGGCTGGTAATGCAGTCAGTATGCTGATAATGACAAAAAGGTATCATCCAAGCTTGTCATGCAAAGATGTCGTAGTTAAGGAATTAAATCACTTTAAAGACATTGTCATCATACTATTGTATTGGGAAAGTATTTACTACAGGCAGGGTTGAGCAGAAAGGACCCATTAAACTCTTTTTGTCAGGTAATTATTTTTATTATAATTTATTATGTAAATCAACTTATTATTATCATTATCATTATTATTATTTTGCCTACATTGCATTTTTCTGTTAAGAGCCTTTCAATTCTGGGGAAGTTTCCTAAAATAAAAAAATATCTAAATTTTTATGAAAAATAACAAAATAGCTTGTTAACTTAATCAGTTAGGCATCTTTTCACCCAAGCAGCACAATTTATAATAATTTGCAGAGAAAAGGGGAATCTCTAGCAGGAAAATATTGTGTCAGCTGTGTTATCTCATGGAGCATGTTCAATTTTAATTTTCTGGGTATGGAAACTGCATTATAAATAACTATGTTATAAATGATTTGGTTTTATCAACTGAGTTGATAATAAAAAATCTGCTTTGACGAAGGGCTAACGCTCAAAACATCAGCTTTGAAACTCTTTACGGTGATCAATTTACAGTATCAACTCAGTTGATAAAACGTAATTAATATACGTTTTAAGTTGTACACGGTGCTTTACTCAAGCGAGCGCCAAAAAAATAATTTGATGATATGATATCCAAAAAATGTATGCAATTAAACAAATATCTTACCCTTGTGACTAATATAGTGTGATGAACTCCTGAGTGAGGAACCAAAACTATGGGATAGTAAAATGATAGATACTGAACGATGCAATATGTCCTGTGATATGTTAAATAATATTGGTATGTTGTTAATGATACCTTAGGACACTATATTGTCGCTGCAATAATAGAAGTTACTCACGGAAATAAATAGTGTTTTCTCCACCGTGACTGATTTGCTCTTTAGTCTTCGTTTTTCGTATGTTCTCCGTGGAGAAAACTGGTTAGAGTATTGGCTCTTTACTCTTTTCGTTCTGGATTTGTTTTGCTATAAATAGAACGGTTTTCAACCGAGTGTCAAAATTATTCCAGGTTTTCATAGGTTTTGCTTTCTTTTGCTTTGTGATTGGTTTAGAAAACCCGCAACGTGTTTACTTTTGACTCTTATTGGTTCCTTTCAATATCTTCCTCTCTTCTGATTAGCGGAAGTGATAACAGGGGGGTCTATTTTGATACTCAATTGAACTGCGCTCTAATCATAGCGCTTTTCTCGAAGTTTGCTAATTATTTAAACGTGCTCTGTGGCCAGAATTCTCACAAAAGAACATCAGTTGTTCTTTCGACGTCAGTTTCCGCGGAATCTTCAGTTGGTTGACAGCAGTTGGTGTGACTTTGAGTAGAAAGTCGCGAAATTTCTTGAACGTACCTGGTTGGACCAAACAAACTTCGAGTCTGTCAATACAGCCGCCATTTTCACGACGAATGAGATAAAATGGATTCACCTCACAAAGGGCGTGGTCCAACTAAAAGGAAAATCAGTGACAGTTTTAAAAAGGCAACAGACATACATGTGAGGCTGAATTACACAAACGCGATTATGTGTTCGAGTAGTAACTAATTAGGTGACGATAGTTATCCTGGATTCAGATTGTTTTACTGAAATTATCTCTGTGATTGGTCAAGAAAACGTGTGCCATCTTCTCAACAAGTCAGATGTAAAACTGAAATAAATCTCGATTTGGTCACCCACGTTTTCCTGCGTCTTATGCAGTTTACCTGGTTTTACTCGGAGTTCTCATTGGCTAATGATGAAAGCAAGCTTTGTTCTGATTGGCCTTTGTGTTTATTATGGTTTTTAGTTTTTTGACAACATCGGAAGTTTACTTTATTTACAACGGTTAAGATTACGCTATGATAAGAGTGTAATGACAATGGTGTAAAAATAATAATGGAGAAATTTATAATGATAGTGCTAACGATAACTATAATCATAGCGATAATGATGGTGTTAATAGCTCTGGACCTCGTTCATCTACCTATCCCTGTGGTAGCATCTTCCTCAGCAGTTCGAATTTTATAACTACAGTTCCTACCAGAAGAAGTGAGGAGACAAAGAGATAGCTTTGATTCTTACCTCCTGTGAAAGCGGCCTATTCTCTCCTGGGTCTCGCGTTGCACTAAACTCCAAGAAAATTATGTAGAATGGCTTAACATCATCGAAGTCAGCCTTGCATCTGTGGTTGTTGTTTTTACCCTGGCCAATATTTTCCTTAACGAAATCCATCTTCGTTGGGATAAAATCCAACAGAATGCTCTCTGCGCATGTGTAATCCACGAGGTTAAATTTCTCGCCTTTCCCTCTGAGCACATTCGTAATTGCCTCGTACATCATCGTCTCAGTCGTTTTCTCCGAGCGCATGTTTAATAGCTGACCTTGTCTGTACTGAAACTCTACCACCGGGCAATTGTTGTAAAAACGGACAACTTTCACCACATCTCCAATCCTGTAACGGTACAAACCGCTCAGTGTGGTTACCACTAGTTCGTATAAGCAACCGGGTTCGATTTCATCACCAAACAGCGTCTGTAAAAAATATGACATGTGCATGGCTAAACTGTCTCTTCGTAGCCGTTGTTTGGAATGTCATGCATTACACCACCAGGGATAAACTAACGTTTCTTTTCAGGGGAAGGGGGCGGTGTGTGATATCCCATCAACTTTAAGGATGAGTGATAGAAAGAATGACCTAAGTAAAGGAGATCCGGAATAATTGTCACTAGAGATGACAATTTTGTCGTTTCATGGGAGAAGTACATTCACAAATGGGATCATATCACAACAGTATGCCCATTTAAAAAAAAAAAAACCACTTTAACAAGGCTGTAACTGAAATTGTTTAGTCTTTATAGCACGTGGCTGCCAGCTAGTCTTTATTAAAAAAAAAACATTCTTAATGGTCCTAAAGTTAGCCAAACATTTCAAAACGTCGGCTTTTATGAACGCTGGAAAGTAGACTTTTGACTAACACTGGAAAAATTTAAGAGCAATTATAAATTGACTGTCAAAAAGCCGAAACCAAAATAATCGCTGCGGCCAATTGTAACGAATAAAAATATAATTATAAGCCATTAAGAACTCAAAGCTAAAACAGTCGGGCAAACAACCAAAAGCGCGGGAAAACACGGGTGATTAGGTCACAAGTGATGTTCGTCTGGCGTCTCATTGGTTGAGAAGATGGCACAAGTTTTCTGGACCAATCACAAAGCAAGATGAAGCAAATACGTTTTAATAACCGGCCTGTCTTGCCTAACTTGTCAGAATATATGAAGTGCTAGCGATCTCTGGGTTCGTTTGTTCATGGACGTTCTTTTTGAGCGGTTATGTTTATTCTGAAATCAAGTGACATTTCGTTGCTTGAACGTGAGAAACAAGATAGCTCTTTCAAATACCTTCGGTTGTTCTTCGTGAGTATGCTCCAGTGGTATGAACTCAAAGAACATTGAGCGAGGTACAAGGAGATAGCAAAGTTCCGAGTTCAGTGGCCATAAGTTCACTCCAATCAATCCTTCAGTTGCTCCATATATGGTGGAACACAGTGCCACACCCTTGAGATAGCGCTCCCGTAACTGCGTGGCATAAAGCTCAGAAGAACCTTAAAGGGAAGAAGATGCAGCATGGAAATTTTCTCCTTTTTTGATGTGCAAAACATGCTGCAAGTCTTTCCTTACGCCCTACGACTGCATCCCCCTCCTACATGCGTCCAAGTTTTATGCCCCAAACAGGATAAGTCCAGTCTTTTGCTCTCTAAACCACGTCGTTACTCCCCATTGCAGTTGTTCTTTGTAATGTTAGGCACCAGCCCTTCCTTCAAAAACCTTTTTCCGAGGGGAGGGGGGGGGGAGTGCGCTGTGTGACTTAACAAATAACAGATGTGAGGAAAGCTGATGCTCCGTTAATGGTGTCAAACTTTGATGGCCCAATGATGGTCGCAATAACAGGATTCTTTTTTATACAAATATCAGTCATATGGTTAAAACTTAACAAGCGTAAGTAATTTAAGCTGATATTTTCGAAACATGCGACAATATTGTGACGAGAACTCACCTGACACTACTCCATGAACATATGCAAGGTGTGGCCAAATTCTCCTGGCGATTCCATCAAAGCCCTTCTGAAACTCCACCCTTAGTTCATTTGCTCGTTGTTTATCTGGCTTTAGCAGCTTATTTAGCTCTCTTGGAAATAAGAGGCAGACAAAGAAGATACAATCAGTTATGATCACACAACAACAAAAAAGTAGTTGATATTCTGAGGGAACGTTTGGGTTGAATTCATAATACTTACTTTCGAACTCCATCTGTTATGTCAAGATCCATATTGATTTCACCTTTCTCCAAGTCTTGCACCAATAATTTCCAGTTTCTCTCGAGGAAGACGAAAACCCCGTGAATCCAAAACGCAAAATTGCCCAGAATCGCACCCAGGTCTCTATCTCTCAGTGCAAACAAGACGTGAATATAAAGTCCAGCGGGTTCAGACGGGACGTCAAGGTGCACTCGGGGAGTGGACAGGGCGTGGAGCTGTAATGAAGGCGCTAAAGTTGAAGGTCCTATTGGAATCCCTCCTTCTGAGCATCTTACTTGAGGAGCGTGAAACAGTTTAAGAGACTTCTGTAAGCTGTCCGCCTAAGGAAAGATGAATCATGTTACAGGGTTTCTGGTAAAGAGAGATTAATCGGCCATGGCCGCCTGACTTGGTCAGGACATTCTGAGTACAGAAATTCAAGCCCGTGCGGCCTGCCATGCTGATAAATTGCGTGCCCTTGGCGTATTGATCGCTCAGATGCCATTAAATAAGTCATTAATAATGCAGTTGTCAGTTGTGAAATTAGATTTGGAAAATTAGATTTGGAAAATTAGATTTTAAATGTAAAATTAGAGATAAAAATTCTAGAAATTTCTACCCACACCATAATTGCTTGTGGTTCACATGGCTACCCACACTTGCATAACCCTTAGCTTTTCGTGCTAATCTCGTGTTCTAAAGCTCTATCTATTGCGTATGACTGCTTTCTGTTGCGATTCCTAAATGGAGATCGAGGTCATGAAAGCTAAGCACACAAAAAAGGATAATTCTTAACCTGACGTAAAAAAAACTCCGTTAAAGCAACACAAGAACACTTGAGGGACCGCAAAAATAAGAAAATTATGTTATTCTTTCCATCCTGTGTGGCAATGTTTTAATCTCATTTAACGATTACTTCTGCTCACCAGGGGTAGAACGTTAAACAAAGTGTGATAAAGTCCCACGGAGAATCCGTATTCCACGAATACTCGAGAATTGTTTCGTGTCTTGGGAATAAGACAGCTTCTTCCTGTTGTTCCGGATGTTACCGCCAACATCCAAGGATCTTGATTGGTCAGTACATTCGTCTTTCCTCGATAAATTTCATCTGTGGTGAAAATTAAATTTATAAACTTGGTTAAAACGTTTACTTTGATGAGTTACGGAAGAGGTTTTTTGATATTCAATAAAGAACTCTCAGGCATAAAATCTTATTGTCCTAGCGCGAATACCAAATTATCCTAAAATTGTATCTCAGTTGTAAATTCTGCTTTTAGTGATAAAGTTAGGTTTCATCGAAAATTTTACGAGTTAGAGAATTCCTGTTTTCTTATCTATCTTTTCCGTGCTCTTCAAAGCTGGAAGAAGCCACAAAAACAATAGAAAACAATCCTTATCTTTTTCATTTTTTCAGAAAATATCAGTATGAAGTGCTGTTGTGAAATGATTAAAAACTTTTGGCGCAAGATGCTCGTCAGTAAGGAACAGATCAACGAATGAAACAAATATTAATCTCTGTATTGACCAGTATCAATGGCTTATACGTATTTCAGAGTTTAAGTTATCCAAAAACGTTCTCCAGAGGTTTGATTTATTTCTGTAACCAGACAAAAACATCAGTTTGTTTTTTTATTTCTTCACCAAAATAAATTACTTGAATATTTCAAATCATTCTTTTTTTGCGTATATATTACTCTATTCAATATTACGCCTAGCAAGATAACGCGAATCTATTTTCTATGAATGATCACTGCTGGATAAAATCAGCTTCAAGGTCTTGCCTCTTTAACTTGGGAGTGGTCAGTGACAAATTCGTGATTACTAACCGACAAGCGCAAACCTGTATATGCCTTAAGCTATTACAGTCGTCACATGCAGACTGTTCTGTTACTCGGCTTCATATTTCGTTCATCTTTCCACTTACCCACAAATGGTTTGTAGTGATCATACTTGGTGATGGGATGAACATCAGTAAAATCCCGGCAGCTCCTTATTTCTTGAAACTTGAATTCTCTGCCATATTTAGTCTTTGAGTTTTTCCTGAGAATGTTCAACAAAAATGTTTCTTGAACTTGAGGAAAACTTTTTGTGTCTTTTTCCAGGCGTCTTCTTGCTTTAGCTCCCAAGAGATACACAAAGCGATTGATAAAGTAGTGGATCAGTAAACTCCGTACAGTGTGAAATTTGCTTCGACGTTTTTTCCGGATCTGAGCGAGAACAGAAACTAGGAGACCGCCGACAAAAATCATAACAAATAAAGATGTATACGCTATCATGCTGTGATGTTCAAGTGTTAAATTTAACCTCTACGTCGTGCCGATATGGCCGTTGAACATATTTCTCTAAATGCTTCCTTCAAGCCACTAGTCACGTTTACACTTCTGTCGCTTAAACAAGTAAATGAACTAACAGATTCTATGACGCGTTAAGTTCATTGTATCAATTTAAGGTGGCTAAAGGTCAAGAGTGCACTCGTAAAGGAGCAAAGCAGATATCCCTTAAAAATGCATAGTCAGCTGTCTATCAGAAATGCATGTCCCAGTTGTGCAGTATGTAGTGTTGGGATCCTTAGGTGTCTAGCAGACAAATAAACACTTTGTGTAAATTTTTGTATCTGTGAAGTTTAGGATCAACCGATACGAAATTTCAACTTAACAGAGACAGAGAATCTGTCTCAGGATCAATGAATTTGTTGTTGTAGTTGTTGCTGTCTGATCAAAGATAAAAAATTTTTGAGTGACCTTCACATTACCAAAACTGTTAGTTGCGAAATCAAGTGAGAACGCTGAGAGAAAGCTTCGAAGGACTGCTCTGTTTTCTTTGGATGTTGACCTATTTGATTTGATGACTTTTTTTAAGATAGAGATCGCGAAAAATTGTAAAGCGTTTAAATGTACCTAGTTCAATATTTTTTTCCCGGAACTGAGATAATTTCTCCACGTAAATTTGTCCTCCTGCTTTCTTGACTGTATTTAATGAAATATCTACCTCTTAACACGATAAAGAATGAAATAAGTCAGCAAACTCACGACAAATGAATAAAGGGGTAAGTTTCTAAAGAAACTGTGGTGCTGCGTCGGTGGGAGAGTATAGCAGGTAATTTAGTGTTAACAACTGGGTTGAAAACGTAAATTAGCCACCGTAAAGGGTAAAAAAGCTGACGTTTCGAGCGTTAGCCCTTCGTCAGGGCTAACTCACGACAAACCCACGTTAACAGTGGGAACACAATAGTAGTACCCGTTTCGTGTGACGTATTTCCGATAGTGGGAAGTGCAAATTCGTCCATTACAGTAAAGGCGGATGTCGAGCTCATTTATTCTAATCCAAGCTTAAAGTACTTCACAGCTTTGACGTCACCCTTGTTGAGTGATACTATTCAGTCTCTAGAAGTTTCATTTGAAATTAATAAGAGAAAAAAGTTAAATTGCATAAAATCTACTGAACCATGAAATATATTCTTGTTCAACGCGAGTATTTTGTAAGATACCGGTGAAAATCCAGTATTCTTTGAGATACAAAGTTTTGTTATGGTCATCACATTTAAAGTTAACTTTCCATCGTGGTTCACAATTTAATCACTGGTTCGGATGAAAATTGGTTCAAGGCCCTTTTAACCCTGAGAGTGACCAGCATATAATTTCTCCCAACAGTAATTCTATTGAATCATGGGAATGAAGGAAATAAAAGAAATGTATAGAGAGGGGTATGGAGAATATTGATACTGATCTCAGGATGTAATGGGTTCATCGGGAAAAACATTTCCTTCACCAAGAAACAATACGAAAAAAGAATCCACAATTTCTATGCGACATAATTTTAATTAATTTGAAATAACTTCCAATGCACATTTCTGACTATATATTAACTGATTAGCATTTATTAAATCATTACATAAATATATATAAATTGTTTCAAATGTCAGGACTATTCTTCAATATAATATGAGAGCTGCACATTAAACTATCACTCTAAATTTAAAAACTCCCATAAACATGTAAAGGAATTATAAATTGTAGAAAAATGATACTGCATCATCATTGCCCAAAATTCTGAATCTAAATGTACTTGTCTTTACTAGAGTTTCAGCAGTAGGGTTGATAACCCCTTAGGATCATCTGCTTCTTTTAAGTCCTCATAAAAAAATCATCATCCAGTTTCTTTATTGATGTCTTCATTCATTGACTTACTTTCACTAAAATAACTTTTCTTCATGACAGTGTCCTATTCTGGCAACATCAAGTTCACTGTGCATATTCAAAAATTATTTTTTAGTTGGATGCTTTAATTACTTCTACTGAAAGTTAGCCATGATGGTCAAAAATTATAAATTTGAAAATACCAAAAGCAAAAAACTAGTTCTTTGATACCTTCAATTCCTCACTTGAGATCACCTGTATTCACCACTCAAACCTCTACACTATGGAACACCTTGATCTTGTACTCTCATTTAATAATAACTATAATATTAAAACTGTTAATCTGAATTAAATCAAGGATCAAAATGTTTTTCTATTGTCATATAAATTTGTTTTGAAAGCACTGTTCTTAATACAAGCAACACAACATTGTACTGTTTCACATTATTTTGGTGAACACCAGCCCTAGCAGAATGGCTGCAATGGCAATAATTACTGCCAGAAGCACTGGATGAACATTCCTTCCTTCACTTCTTGGAGCTGTTGTGTTTCCTTGTGCAGGTTTTTTGGCCATGACTGCAAATGGACACACCCCATGAGCCTGATCTTTACTGGTGTCAATGCTACTGTAAACCTCTTCAACTGTCAGCTTCTTTTTCTTCTTGGTAACCTGATCTTCAAATCCAGCCATATCATCTATCTCTTGAAACAAATGAATGTTGAGCAGGAAAACATAATTTGCTTCTTTAACAATCTCATCTGATTTCACTTTGTCAATGCTGAGTTCATCAAGGCAGGATCTGTACTTGTTCTTAAACTTCTTAGCATCAGGAATGTTATCAAAGACATAAAAGTGCACTCCTTCTCCAGTACTTGGGAGATCCATAGCTTTAGTGGCCATTTTTCTTAAAATTTGTCCACCTGACAAATCCCCCAGGTACCTGGTGTAATGATGAGCTATCAACAGAGCTGGATCCTTGTCAGCTACTTCATGGATTCTGTCAACATAGGCTTTTGTAGCTGCAGACATTGGAACTTGCTCCTTCCATTCCTCGCCAAAATAAAACTCCATATCTTCTTCCAAGGACTGCAAACGACCAAGCTCTTTAGGAAAATGCACTGCTTTGAACAGATCATGATCTTTATGTCTCTCACTCTCTTCTTCAAGTGCTCTGAAATAGAAAGGGGGAGAGGGTAATTAGCAGTGATACAATTGGCATTGTAACTCAGTCTTAGGGTTGTCTGCCTACTAAGTAAAATTCTGCAAATGAAATCCCTTGCAAACACCTATTAAATGATTTGCTATGACTCTATGGCATGCAGTAGAGGTTTGGGCTCACAATATATCTCTAGATATTGTTATTTTGATCTGCACTTTTACAAGATGGATCGAAATTTCTAAAATTTTTTTCTGTATGTTTCCCTGTTCATTAATGTTAGTCCTCTACAATTTATTAAATTTTGAGATGAAAATAACAATGGCTGCCATACACAGCAGTCAACACTAAACAATTAAAGAAAAATTCAATCTTCATTGCGGAATGACAATAGGAAGGATCACAACAACCCCACATTGATGTTTCTATCCTAGATAGGAATTAAGAGGGGAGAGGTTGGGTGGAAAGTAGAGTGTCCTGAGAAAATGTAGCAGCCGTAATTACAACAGGTTTATATAAACCAGGTATAGAACTTACCTGTACACAAAGTAAAGATCAGCCAAAAGTTCTTTATACCACTGTCTCTCAATCCTTCCCTTGGCAAACTCCTTTACAAAGTGAATATTTTCTGCTTCTCTGTGGATAACTTTGGTGCCTTTCTTCAACTCCTTTGACAGATGAATAGATGGTTCTGTTTTCTCAATTTCTTTATTGACATCTTCTTTGATGTCATCAATTGAACTCTGGAAAATCTTGGTCCAACGTTGACCATCCAGCTTGTCAACCAGTGGTTTGCCGTCACTGCAGACAGTCTTGAATGGACATCCTTCCACCGTTGCAAACATGGGACACTCACCCATTTCCTCTTTCAGTCCATTGGACACTTCATGTATGTACCTGAAAATTTCTACGAGCTTAGCACCATGTGATCCCTGCACAGAGAAGGATGGAAGACTGGCAAGCTTTTTGTAAATATCTCCAATAGTTTCACTGTCCTTATGAGGGCATCCATCTTTGAATTCAGGACACTGTTTCAGCTCTTCATCCAACTGTTTGTCACCAACTTTTGCAAATGGACATCCAGATGCAAATGCTGGGCAAGTTTCTTTTAAATCTTTGAGGTTAACAAAATGGGTAGAAGGCTCTTCTGACTCAGACTCTGAGGGCAATACAGATTCTGCTGGACTGAAAAGTGGCTTTCCTTCACTCTCAACAGATTTGAATGGACAACCGTCCTTCAGAAGGATTGGACACTTGTCAGCTTTCTCATGGCCAACACTGTGAATGACTTTCATGGTCTCCATCAGAGCTTCTTTATGGTGGCAGTCCTTGTCACTGCTTGGCATCTGTGACAGCTTATTGTAGATCTCTTTGATTGTTTTGGCTTCTTTGAAGGCACATCCTTCTTTAAACTCAGGGCATTTCTTAATTTTTTCCAAAAGAACTTCATTATCCATGTTGGCAAATGGACACCCTTCTTTGAAAGCAGGACACTTCTCCTTCAGTTTACTGACATCAGAGGCAGTAAAACCTTCTAACACAGCTGCTGGTGGGTCTATCAAAGGTTTTCCTTCCTTGCTGGCATCTTTGAAAGGACAGCCTTCCTCTGTCTTGAATGCAGGACACTCTCCAACCTTCTCTTCCAGCTTTTTAGACTCCGTGTGAATGGCTTTCAGCATGTTAAGTAGATGTTCATGTGTTGATCCTGAGTGATGTTTTATCTCTGGCATCTTGGAAAGTTCTTTCAGGATATCCTTTACATTGTCTGTGTTCTTAAAGGGGCACCCTTGTTTGAACTCAGGGCATTTCTTGATTTCTTCCACAAAAAGGTCTTGTGTAATCTTAGAATAAGGACAGCCATCTTTAAAAGCTGGGCAGCTCTCAAGGACTGATTCTGATGCATATGATACCATGATGATATCCTATAAAGAGGATAAAATTCGACAACTGGAACAGACAATCCTCTGAGGGCCTACTAGGCAAGTCCAAAAATAATTCTACATTTTCACTCCTTACATCACAAAATAAATTATCCTCAGTGTCTACCAAACAGTTATTACAACGTCATTTCAGAGAATTTGATTTGCCAATTTAGTGATACTGTGAAATGTTTTTTTTAATGGTCGCTCGTAATTACGGCTTCACTAAAACTGAATTTTGTCTCTGGAAATTAATTGATGGCCAGTTCATCCAGACAAAAAGACATATGACAACACATAATTTTCTCAAATCCTGTACACTCTCTAAACAAATATCTGAGCACGAATCAATAAGGCATTAAAAAACACAGCTGTAACAGTGTGACATGAGCTTAGCCTTCCGCCGCTACAAAGTATTCATGCGATAAACTGACAAAGCGATTTTTATTTAACTTTGTCACCACATTCTCTGTAAAGCTTTATGATCGAAGAATAACTATTTTGCAACGAGCGTGAGAGAATCCATGTCGAAAATTTGGAAGGAAAGCAACCTTCCTCCGGCTATAGATTTCGACAAGCAAACGAAGCAAATGTCCTCATCTTTCAAATCGATGAAGCATGACTTAAAGTGCAATTTTTCGTTGCATCCCTTGAGCACACAGTTAGTAGCTTTGAATACTAATTGAGCTCTATCAGAACAACACTGGCAGGCAAGAACGAGCGACAACCCAGTCGAGCGCAACGATATTTACAGCTTTGCATCCCCGAATTAAAAAGTTTCCTGAACAGATTACAACCTTTCTATTTGGGTAGAATATTTAAAGCTTTCAAAAAACGTAAAAGAAAGAAAAGATTTACCTTAAAAATGAGTTCCGAAAATTGCCTTGACTTTGCCAATCTCGCCTTCGTCGTGCCAATATGGTCAGCCCTGTGCCACCCCGATATTTTTGCCTGAATCCGTAACAATAAACGACCAATAAGTTCGCTTTCTCTTGCTCATGTGATCAGTTGTATGACGCTCTTGTGGGTTTCAGTTTCTGCTGCATCATCTCGCTAATAATAGCCTGATATTGTGAAAGTAATTGCGCAACTCCATGCTATCCTTGGCCCAGCACAGTTACCGTGTGATTCCCATAATAGTCAGCTTCGTAACGCCAACGTGTTTCCAAGCTGAAGGCTGAGGCAGCTGACACAGACACGAGGATTGATAATAAGCCATTTCGGAGTGAGGCTGAAGGAGACCTTGTTGTGATAGAGACCTGTATCTAGTTAGCATGATTACAAAGTAATTTGCATTTGAGAAGCAGCAAGAATTTACTCCTGTTCAAACCCTTGGCAACCAACCACTCAACTGTAAAATGGAATATTCATGCTATCATGCGAAAACCGAAGTCAGAATTTTTTAAAATCAACATTGTGTCAAAAATCTTCAAAACAAGACACCTCTCTGAGTGAACACTATACAGACGAGGGGCTTGAAAACTGGGCAGACTGAACTCGACACGATAAATACTAGCCTACGTGTAGCCGTACCCTCGAGGATACCCTCCATATAAACAGGCTGAAATTTCCCAATTAGCCGAGGCTGCAAAGGGTAATGATTTTCGTTGGCAGGTGGTTTACTGTAAGGTCACACAAATCAGCAAAAAGACAAGTGTATCCAAAAGCACTTCACGTATGAGTGCACTTCCACGATCTTTTAGCTCCCCAGAATGTTCTTGGTTCATTCTTAACCACTTGTTTTGAACAGTCTAGTACATTCCAAAATGAATCCCTCGTGTGTGCCCAAACAGGTCACACGAATATTATGCGTCATATTAGCATATATGAAACAAGTTATGTGCATTCACTCTATCATGTCTTTTCTATCTTAGAGTTTCAAACAGGTAAGTGCATGTGGGCGTCTTTAAGGACCTTAACCAAAACACGCGGGGACGTGGCAAAAAATCTAATGGGTAGAACATTGGCTCAGCACGAGTAATTTAAGACTTCGTACATTTCTTCGCCGTCCGCTACAAAACAACAACGTGAAATCACCAAAATTTGCATGGTCTGAGAATGGAAACCCCGACGGCAATTCATTCAAGTTTCCATTTGGAACTCACGCTGCTAAAATACGTTATGCTGAAGTTAAGGTGTGGCGCTTTAAGAGACGGTGAAAACATCCAGCCAGTCGTAAGGTTCTATTACAAGAATTCATTTTTTAATTTACATATTCTCGACGTTGCCGTCCTGACTGCTTAAGGTCCCTTTTATCTCCGAAAGGGGGAAGGGGGGTGGGAGAGGGGAGTGGAGAGGTGAGGGTAGAGGAGGGGGGAGAGGGGGGGGAAGACCCTAAATCGGTCTCAGAGATATAGCCGTAACTGATGAAAAGTTTACTCTGGTTTTAACTACGGATCCGAAATTATCACTTTGCTCCTATCAGTAAATTTGCTTCCACAATTATAACTTTACAGCGACATCCACATCTTTGTTGCATTTAGAATAGCATTTAAAGGCCTCTTTACCATAATAATGATTGAAAATTTTTGTAATTAATATCGTTAACCAATCAAATTTTATGTCACGACACATCGATAGCAAACTAAGAAATAAGTAAAGACAAAGAATTAATTATAATTATCATATGAGAGAGCCTCAATGCTGCAAAAATAAATAAATAAATAAATAATGGTAACAGTAATAATAATAAAATTTGACCTGACCAAAAACTTCACGGAGTAATATTAGCCCTTGCCAAAACACGACAAATTTATCGTGAACATTTGAAAATGTGTTATCCATATGGAGCAGTGTTGTCTGGGCAACCTGCAGCTTCTGGGAGTATGCTTTGTTTTCATCGTACAAGTGAAGGAAACAGTTGTCCACTTTAAGTCAAAATCACTCTGTTTATCGCATCTTAAAAGGACCAATGGCAAGTTATTTCACTCGTTTTGTCTTTCATTGAAACCTTTTCAAGCGCTGAATTTTGCCAAGCCTTTGATTTGCTGAGTGTTTGGAGGGTTTTCACTGAGTGTACACATCGTCTCAGGTAAGAAATCTGTGTTATTTCATTAAATCTATTATGGCAATAAATGTAGGGACTCGAGCTACAGCCTAAATGATGCCGTGACTTTCGAAAATAGTGATATTCCTCACAAGTCCAACAGGATGAATAGTTCGACTTTTTGGTGGCAAAGGTCTTAAAAGCCACTTGAGACAACAGAGATATTTTCACGCATTTCGAAAGTAAGAAAAGCGACAAAACACAAATTGATGAGCATAGAAAATAAAGACTGGGCATCATGTTTTATCGAGATTTGAGGCCAGTGTTTTCAAAATAAGGTAAACATGATGTAGTTGTCGGGCGTTTTATGTCATTTACTTTTCTTCTCGATGCAAAGAAAGCCGAGGAATAAACGGCGTACACAGGAGGTAAGAGGCAGTGATTATTCGAGGTCTCACAAGCCTTTTCAGCTGGGCAAATAAATATTAAAATTCTGCAAATGGTGTTGGATTTCCTTTTTAGTTCAAACTTCCACTGATAATTTCAATTTTCACTAATTTGTACAAGTGAATTTTACATGTAGTTGTTTTATGATTAAAGGGGTAAGTTTCTAAAGAAACTGTGATGCTGCGTCGGTGGGAGAGTATAGCAGGTAATTTAGTGTTAACAACTGGGTTGAAAACGTAAATTAGCCACCGTAGAGGGTAAAAAAGCTGACGTTTCGAGCGTTAGCCCTTCGTCAGAGCGATTAGAGGAATTGTGGGTTGTGTGTGGATTTAAATGCAGAAAGTGGGGCTACGCCATTGGTGGGAATATGGTGACGAGAAAACAGGAGTAAATTAGTTGAATGAAAAGCGCTCGTTGATTCCGTGGGGATTAAGGGTGCCGATTTGGAAAATAAATTTTTGTTCTAGTGTTTTACGGCTTTCCGAACTGCCTAGATGTAAGGAAAGGCCGCAAACTGCCATATGCTGTTTAGAATGATTAGGAAGATTAAAGTGTCTAGCGACTGGTTTGGATGCGTCCTTGTCATTTCTTTCCACATCGCGAAGGTGTTCTCGGAATCGGTCACCCAGTCGTCTTCCTGTTTCGCCGATGTATAACTTATTGCAATAAGAGCAAGTTATGCAGTAAATAACATTGGCGGAGGTACACGTAAAGTGATCAATGATCTTAATGGATCTTTTAGGTCCCGATATTTTCTCTACGTTGTGAATGAAAGGACAAGTTTTGCATCGTGAGCGAGCGCATTTAAAAGTTCCAGATTGGTCATTGGTTTGAAATGAACTCCTGACTAAAAAGTTTCCTATGTTTTTGTCACGTTTGAATGAAATAAGTGGGGGTTGCGAAAAGATAGTGCCAGTCTCTGAATCGTTTTGGAGTATTTTAAAATTTTTAAGAATGATAGATTTAACTGCGTGGTTGTGAGGGTGAAATGTAAGAGTAAATGGAATGCGGTCAGTGTTTTCCTTCTCGGCCGTTTGTTAGGTAATTTGCTTGCTAGCCGTTTGTTACCACCGTGCCCAACAAATCGATCGACAGGCAGCACTACAAACGGCCGAGAAGGAAAACACTGACCGCATTCCATTTATTCTTACATTCCCGCTCACGATGCAAAACTTGTCCTTTTTGTTTTGAGTGCATTGAACCGATAACCAAAGCAATAACAACAAAGGAAAGTACCACTAGAAGACAATGAAAAAGTCAAGTCAAGCAAATTACCTAAAGCGCGGGAAAACGCACGCAACCAAGTTGCGATTAGTCGGGTTTGGATTTAATTTAGTTTTTCTGATTGGTTGAGAGGGCGACAAGGTTTTTCAACCAATCACTGGGCAACGCAAAGCAAACCCAATGGAATACCGGATTACTATGAGCATTCAATTGAAAATTGTTCCTAGACATAGTGATTAACACACTGAATTTTTCCACTCAGGTATTTACAAAGAGAAACAGCAATAGGGAGGAGCCGCAAGTTTCACAGCCAGACGCCATGTGTATTTACGCCATAATCATGCAAAGGATGAAAAGGAAGAATTTAATGAAGAATAAAGAAAAGAAGCAATCCAGCCTTGATTATCAAGATGATGTTTCCATTAAAGATGCTTATTCACCGACAAAGGAAAGTCTTCCTGAGAAAGACAAAGATGTAAATATATGAAACTTTCCTGGATGACGTACTGCTATGCTGAGTCAAAGCCTCATTTTGAAATCTCACCTTCTAATAATTTAAGGATAAGGTAACAGCTAGATGGAAAACAGAAAAGACAAGGTGGAACTTCTTTAGTTAATTTTTTTGGACTGAGAAACCAAATTCACTACTCCAATGTCATAAAGGTTTACTAAAGAATACAATATGTCTAGAAGAGCATTAATTTGTAGGAAAATAAATATTCTGATGCTGTAAGCTATCAGTAAGAAATTATGTAAGAAGTTTCATTGTTTTATTGTTTTAGATTTACTAGTCTAAATGTACTATCAAGTAAAAATTGCTGTTTACAAAGCAAAAACCTTAACAGTTTGTTTTAAAAACACAGTCAGACCTATTTCAAGGGAAAAAGTTAGTAACAACCAAAGACATATTGATAGAATCTAAATCACAATCCTATAAGGGCTGTCAAATAAGAACTCTCTCTGACACACATCAAATGTACAAATAAAAGAAAAAATAGAGAATTATTTGAGTGGTACAGCTGTTGCTGATGGTTAGTTTCATCAACCACAAATGATAGATCTTTTTCAATCCTCCTTCATTGGCCAAAGATTTTGCATGCTAAAATCTTCACCCAACTCAATATCCTTCAAACATTTACTTGCATTAAGTTTTTCTTTCCTTGCGGCCAGGAGCATTAATATAAGTTAGCAAAGCTGTTTAAGATGAAAAGCAGTTCATAATGCCACTTTCACTGAAATATATCCATTCCATTGAATTTTAAACTCTTGTTTCATCACTCACGCTTCGCTGTCCATTGCAGTTTCATCTGTGGAATCATCTGGAAGTGGGTGTGGGGGTGGGGGTGGGGGTGACTGTGTCTCATCCATAGGTACAATAAGGTTCTCTTTTGCCATCAAATCATACTTTAGAACATAAGTTGTAAACCTTTTGCATAAGAGAGTCTCATTCTGCAGATAAAAAACAAAGAAACTTAGAAAACTTGCATATATTGAATGATCCTCAATCAGTAGACTGGTCCAGGCATAGTTACCCAAATGTAGGAAAATACAATTGTAAATGGCATGATTGCAGTGAAAATGTGGGATGTTTGGGTTGGGAACCACATTTCCGCTTTACCACTACTCAAACACCATTGATTATTGCATGTCATTTTACTGACTGAAAACCTGGACCAGGGTGACTATCTTTTTTGAATAACATTTGGACATAAAGACACTGACAAACCTGGAGAGATCACTGATTACAAAAAGGTTGATCTCCCTTCATAGAAACACTTGTTTTCTTTTCTTTCTGAAGGATCTTTGCAATATTTTAAAGATAAATGTTTTACTGAATATGGCTGAGAAAAATTACTATAAGAAACAGATCTGGGAATTTCATAAAATATGTATATAATTCCCCTTCAATTTGGTGCATTTATTTTGTTGTGAACTTGAGTGCTGCAAAAATTAGAACTGTAAAGTATACTTAGGAATACTAACAGACTCAAATTACCTCAAACTCATCATAAATACTCCTATGGTGAAAGTAAGCATGTGAAAATATTCGGTAGACACGACGACAAACTGATCCCAGTTTAGCCACAGAAGATTCCTTGATGCTCACTCTGGAAAGATAAAATGGGATGGGATGCTGCTTCATTGTGGGCAACAGGAGGTAATGTCTGCTTCAGGATGGACTTCTATCCCCTTCCCCACTTAAGCATCTCATCAAATTTCACTGACATGTCACCAGTACTCATATTTACTCCTAGATAGAAGTAGGTACTATCAAAGTAAAGTATCTTGCCCAAGAACACAGCACAAAGACCAGCCCTGAACTTGAACCTGAACCCACACCTCTGAACTAAGGGTCCCATCTTGAATCCATTAGGCCACAGTACCTCCCAATCAACAGCACAACAAATCAGTAAATAGAGCTCTTTGTACATTTGTGATGGGAGAATAAAAAAGCAAAAATAACAGCGAAACATGCCATGAGAGAAAAATGAAGAGTAGCTTCCTGACTAGCTTGCTTAAAGTTGTCAGCTTGGCAGATGCTGCATGTAACAGAAACAGAGCTCCAAAAATGAGACTTTGTCTGTGCAAAAACAGATTGAAGAGCTCTCTCTTGTTCCACTGGTGTACAAGCATGATAATTAAAAGGGAGAAAAAAATGACAATACCTGCTTGGAAAGTACTTGTTGCTGTTCAGCAAAGATGCTGCACCATCCAGAGTATGCCGTGTGTAATCAATAGCTGGACACTGTTGAGGAGAACGCAGTTTTAAATCAACAAATAAAATCAATCAATGCATCAGTCATTCAATCTGTCAGTGAGTCAATCAGTCAATCAATCAATCTGTCAGTCAATCTTCCAATCAATCAATCAATCAATCAGTTAGTCTGTCAATCCATGAATCAATGAATGATTACATTATCAGGATCTTTTGTAACAATGTGGATGTTCTGATCCGACTATTCCAGTTTCAAGAGAACCAATCACAAAAAGTAGCAACAACCTCAATAGCTTTTGAGAATGTCTCACCTCTCTGGGGGTTTTGTGTGCAGCACATAAGAATATCCACTGCTCTGTGGCGGTCATTTGTGTGCAGGTTGAAGGAGTACAGTCGGACTAAAGTAAACAACAGTCAGTGAAAAAGGTCAGCAAACATTTTGCTTTGCAGATTTGCTTGAAAACATCTTTTTTTTTTTTTTAGCTGTTTTACTCTTTGGGTGATAATTGTCTCCTGGTCCATTTGAACAGTTCATTATGGCTATGTCAAGTAAACCATTGACAAACAAATGATCTCAACTTGTCTGGTCTTTATTAACATTTTGTATTAAAATGGTATAGGGAATTTCAATTTATTTTTACAAATTTAGAAAGCTTTTTAGCATTGATACTTTCTCTTTGACTCTCATAATTCATAGGCCTGATATTGTACTCATCATTTGAGGAGAATTTAATTCTCCAGTGCTGAAGTTACCTGAAGTCTGACAGCCAATCCATTGAGTTCCATACAAAACTGCCTCAGATGTTC